TTTTTTTTCAATTGACCTTTGTTTTGTTTCGTTCAGTAGCTAATCGTCGTAGTCGTACTAGTGTGTGTCAGTCATTAAAGTAAAGAATATAATAAAAAAAAATATCTAAATGGAAAATACAAGTGCAATTACTGAAAAAACTCCGTCATCAACACCATCAATTGATGAAAAAGATTTAGTGATGTCAATGCGTAAACTTGATTTAATCAAAGAATTAGGGTTTATTTTGAATAATTAATTAGAATATTCGAATATTAATTTTTATTATTTTAATAGAGAAAAACAAAATCAATTTCAACGTCTTCAAACTCATTTACAACAACATACTGATTTAGTTACACGTGAAAATCAAGTTTTACGTGAATTCCGTAAAGAACTTGATATGCTTGTACAAGAACGTATGTCACATATTGAAGAATTAAGATTAATTCATGCCGATATAAACATTGTATGTTGTTTTTATTTATTTTTTTTCAACAAAAATAACTTTCTTATCGTATTCATAGATGGAAACAACAATAAAACAAGCTGATGAAGAACGAGCAAGAGCAATACAAGATAGTAAACGTCTTTTAAAAGATTATCAACCAATAAAAGAACAAGTTAATAAATTACGAGATATGCTTAATCTCGAACGACTTTCTGATCATGATGATGATGATACAACATTAATAGCAATGCAGTTAGTTTTCATTATTTTTTTTTCGATTGAAATATTTATATTTTTTTCCTTCTTAAGATTAATATCTCAACAATCCAATGATCATGATCTACCAGTCAATCGAAATAGTCATTTATCATCAACTGGATTAGATAATACACATGAACAAATTCCATTAGGTATATCATTTCATCATCAATCTCAACAAATGACTAATACAACGAATAGTAATATGTCAACACCGAATAATAATAATAATCAACAACAACAGCAACAACAAGCATCAGCAATGAATATGCCAAAAACTATGGGTAGTATGGGATCAAATCTTGATCGAGCATCATTTCGTCAACAACCACCGCCAATGAAGGTAGGTTTTCAATTAAGAAATTATCTATAAAAATATTTCCTGTTATTTATTTTAGACTTGTCAATCATGTCAACAACAAATACATCGTAATGCACCGATATGTCCTATCTGTAAAGCTAAAAGTCGTTCACGTAATCCCAAGAAACCGAAACGTCGTCATACAGATGTTCATCCATAAAAACAAAACAAAGTTGGCCTTTTCTTTTTGTACAAATCTGTTTTTTTGTAAATTTTTCTTTTTGAATCTCTCTTAAACGCAATAATATAATTAGTTTTCGTTGTTGTTGTTGTTGTTGTGACTGTCAATTAAATTGTAGATTTTAATAAAATGGCTCGTCGATATGATACACGTGCAACAATATTTTCACCGGAAGGTCGTTTATATCAAGTTGAATATGCTTTAGAAGCTATATCACATTCTGGTGCTTCATTAGGTATACTTGCTGAAAATGGTGTTGTCTTAGCCGGTGAAAAACGTAATGTCAGTCCATTACTTGATGATGTTAAATATTCGGAAAAAATTTATAAAATTCATGATGATCTTTGTTGTTCAGTTTCTGGTATAACCAGTGATGCAAATGTATTAATTAATGAATTACGTATGATTGGTCAACGGTAAATATTTGAAATAATGATAAAAAAAAATAAAAAATATTTTTTGAAATTTAGTTATTTATTAACATATCAAGAACCAGCACCAATTGAATATATTGTTTCACGTTTATGTAACATAAAACAAGCATATACACAATTTGGTGGTAAACGTCCATTTGGTGTATCATTTCTTTACATGGGTTGGGATAAACATTATGGTTATCAATTATATCAATCGGATCCAAGTGGAAATTTTGGTGGATGGAAAGCTACATGTGTTGGTCATAATTCTCAAACAGCTATATCAATACTTAAACAAGAATATAAAATAGGCGAAACACAACTTAATGATGCATTACGTTTAGCTATAAGAGTATTTAGTAAAACTCTTGATACAACAAAATTAACGCCTGAGAAAATTGAAATTGCCGTTTTACAACATGATGATAAAACAAATCATACAACAATTCGTATGTTAAAAGATGAAGAATTAACAACATTAATTAAACAATATGAAGAGGAACAAAGTAAATTAGAAGCTGATAGACAAAAACAACAACAGACAACAGAAAAAGATAAAAAATAAAATATCTTACAAAGAATAAAGAACACATAAAAGACACAAAATATTTTCAAATTTAACCATGATTTTTTTTTTCCTTTGCTTGTTATGTTGTATCAGTCTTTTTTATTCAGAATAAAAACTAAGGTATAAGAATTTTAAATGAATGAAGAAAGATTAATAAACATTTAAGATCAAATACAATTGATATTTTTTATATTTATATATAAATCAATGATAACCGATGAATTGAAAATACGATAGCGTAATCAGATTTCCATTAAAATAGAATGGAATATCCAAAAACGATCACTCTTCACTTATATTTCATCTAATGCATAAGTTTTTTTTATTGTATGTATTTCTCGAAAAAGAAAGGAGAAGTTCTGTTCAGAAGAGAAAAGAATATATTGGTTTCACGAACAAAAAGTCAATCACTCTTATTCTTGTAAGTTTTAAAAACTGATTTAATAAAATTCTACATAATTAACATTCAGATATTAGAATAATAATAGATAAAAAATACTTAGTAGCTTTTGTGATCTACGACGGCAATCTAAGAAAAAGCACAATAATGCAAAATAGATAAAACTGACATGTTATTTATTGAATTGTTCATTGTCGTATAGTCATATATCTCCATTTTTTCTTATAAACGACCATTGACTATTCTTTGTATTCGATCTCGGGATATAGAAATAGAGAATAACATTCAATCACTTCCATAGAATATAAATATCTAGAATGTTGCTCTGTTGTTAAGATCAGTTATTTTTTCGCATACATTCAATTTAGCTGATCTATTTCTATAACTTATATTGTCTTCTATGAAACACCTATCTGTGCTGGTCATTATAATAGGAGAAATTATTGTAAGATATCTCATCAAACAATTTCTCTCTTAGTCTGAATCCTAGATCAGAGGACTATAGTTGACTCTTCTAAATTAAAAAATAAATTATAATTCATCATATTTTCGATGTCTAAATTGACCAATATATCATGAATAAATGATTGTTCTTTTCATTTGTTTCTTATTAATGATGAATACTACTTGATTGATTCAACTAGGCCATGTATGGATCATATATCAACATACACATCCCAATTTATTATTCTTGTCTTCATCATACGAGGTCTTGTTCAACACTATTACAATTCAATTACATATAAATTATTCTTGTTTTCTTACAGGGAACATTTTCATAAACAATCAGAAATGTAGATATGTCTGAGAAGGTCATTTATACACATACGTATGTATGTATGTGTATTACCTTATCAATCGGCTTTGTTCATTACGATTTGATTATTTACAAAGTTGTTCTCTATCCGCACGCGCGAAATACTAAAAATAGAATTATTTCAAGAATAAATGAATAAAATATTTTTTTATTTATTTATTAACTATTCTTTATAATTTCTTTTTTACAATTTCAATACTCTTTTTCACACTTTTGATATGAGGATGCGTTGGAGGTAATGCACGTTGGAATATGTCCAGAGCACGTTCACAATATGACAGTGCTTTCGAGTACTCTTTCATATTGTAATACACACTACCGATGCTGTGGTATGAAGCAGCCAAATCAGGATGATTTGAAGGAAGAGCTTTTTGATAGACTTCGAGTGCTTTTTCAAAAAATGAAAGTGCTTTCGAGTATTCTCCCATGTTGCCATATACACCACCAATGTTATTGTATGAAGTAGCTAAATCAGGATGATTTGAAGGAAGAGTTTTTTCTCGAATTTCAAGTGATTTTTCGTAAAATGAAAGTGCTTTCGAGTACTCTCTCATCTTGTAATAGACATTACCGATGTTGTTGTATGAAGTAGCTAGTAAAGAATGATTTGAAGGAAGAGTTTCTTTATAGATTTGAAGTGCTTTTTCATAAAATGAAAGTGTTTTCGAGTACTCTTCCATTTTGTTATACAGGCTACCGATGTTCGTGTATGAAGTAGCCAAGTGAGGATGATTTGAAGGAAGAGTTTTTTGAAAAATTTGAAGTGCCTTTTCGTAATATGAAAGTGCTTCCGAGTACTCCCCCATCTTAGAATACACCATACCGACGTTGTTGTATGAAGCAGCCAAATGAGGATCATCTGAAGAAAGAAATTTTTGTACAATTTCAAGTCTTTGTGTGTAACACCAAATGGCCTTTTCATAATCACCCTGACCATCTTTGACATTTCCAAGCTGATTATAATAAAACGATTTTTCACCTTCATTAGATGCCTGTTCGAGTAATACATTATAAAGTTCTTCAGCTTTATTAAATTGACCAATTTTTAGCAATAGGTTACCCAATCTCTGCCATCCAGTATCACCACTAGCTTCTTTTCGTATCCGATCAGTAAGTAATCGTAATTCTTGGTCATCATCTGATGTTAATTCTAATTCAACTTGATAAAGTTGATTCTCATTGTCCATGTGTTTAACTGCATTCACCCGAAAGACAGTGTGCATTGAGAAGAGAATTTCATCTTCTTCCTTAAAATAACTCTCCTCTTTGATGGAGGCAAATGGTGCTGATTTAATACAAGGATCAATGGACATTATGAAGAAAATACCAACCATATCCTCCTTTTGTGGCGCACTATAAGCAAGTCCGAGAGCCATGCCTTGCTGAGTACTAGTGGACACAAAGCTATTAAAAGACATTAAACCACCTTTTGTCTTTTGCAGTTTTTCAAAATTTGCTTTGGATAAACCTTGTCCCCGGTAAACTACGAATGGTGTTCCATGATAACCATGAACCTGCTGTAGATATAGTTGTTGGATTTGTTTGTGAAGATCATGAATGAAAAAACCCATATTAATAATAGTATCACCGTCCATAGAGCGAAGAGCATAATTGAGCATTGAATAGATATTGGATGGAAAAGTGTACCACCTGATGGCTAATTGAGCATGGTATTCTTTCTCAAAAAGGTCAATATAGATTGGTGACACGCAGTCATTATGTCGGCAATAAGCAGTAAATTGTTTGATGGCTTGATTACCATGTTCCATATCAAGAAGAATATCCTTGAATATTTGTGTATACATAAAAGTTGGCTCCAACTGATTTAAATTCTCAGTTGAAGCCATTTCATCTACCGTGAGAAAACTCATGGCAGTAGAATCTTGATTGAACTGCTTGGTACTGATTTTTAAAGCTTGACATAAGTCATCGATGTTGGTATGAACGCTCTTAATTTTTCGCCATTTTGTTGCCCATTCTTCCTGTAAGGATTTAATATCATTGAAGATATAAACACTATCCAGCTGAGGAATATCATTGATGAAGGGCATAATTTGCTGAGCTATAGTATCCTTGACAACGAGAACAGACCTGATGTCATCTTGAGCATTTGTAAGAAATTCGATGCATGCATCTCGTTGCGTAAAGACATTGACATCATCGGTAATAGTTCGTATCTGTTTTAATGTATTTTCATAATCTTCGTTTGTTTGATGGATGCTGGTATCTACCCATAGGAGAACATAGTTTTGTCTCATACGTTGTCGTGGTTGACGAGTATAAGACGCTATTGCTCCATGAGATGATTTTACGCTCGATTTCGAATCCATGATACGTATTTGTTGATAATTGTATGCCGTTGAGGAGCTGATGTATAAATGGTGAAGGAAACAAACGAATATTGTTATTTATATGAGAATCAGATCTCTTTATCTCAATATTTTTATGACGTCATTGATTATCTTCTTTTATTTATTTGGAGTAGTTACAACAGAACTTTGTCCTTTGTATCGTTTCATGTAAACTATAAAACTAGGTGAGTACAGAGAACAGAAAAAAGAATTTATTTTTTCCAACTTTCTTCTAAGATAAGAGATAATATCGTCACTAACGAAAAAAACAGACATTTACTTTGTAAGTAATGCACATTAAAAACATCCATCAGTGATCCCATTCTAAAATTTTAGAACCCAAGAATTTTAGAATAAATATTCATGAAATGATTTGATATTAGTAAAAATGAGTATGGATGACCGGAATACCAGAGTATTCAGATCTATATTCTGACAACAATCATTTGTTAGTTCTGAAGAAGCATTTAATATTAAATTAGCTGTCGATGAAATAATGTGTTACGAAGCATAGTATTTAGTTCCTTATTCTACGCACCAATCTTATTAACGTAGAAACATTTCAGTGAATCGAAAAATATGCTTCACAACGCATTTCAGATATGTGCCTGTTATATATGCCATCTACTTTTTCAGAATGAAATGTTAATTCCTTGATTATTTTTAAGAGTAGAAGAGATTATAAATGTGGTAGAAAACACTTCTGAAAGATTTTGATAATAGAATATGTGTTTATATGACCTATGACATGAAAAACAACCTCGAAGTAGGTTTCCGTCAGACTTTATATTGAAATTTTCAATCAAAATCGAATATCTTTCTAGATTTGTAGAGAGAACTATGATATGGCAACGACAGTACTGATCAATGTCAGTGTTTACTATTATCAATTGCTGTGTTGATACAATTTTTAATATTAATTTATTTCTTTTTGACTCTATCGTTCTGTATCTGTACATAAGAGATTGTCATTGCTCTCTTCATAAATACCATTTATTCGGAAACAAACAATTTTTCTAACAAATAATAAATAATATTAATTTAAAGATTTAGCACAGGTTCATAACCATCAATAGCAAGTGTAAAATCTGCTTGTCCACTAGTTAATGTTCGTAATGTTGAACTATAACCAATTAATTCTGCTAATGGAGTTCTTGTTATTATTGTACTCATAGAATTTTGTACACTACCACTAGTACCTTGTTGTACATCAATAATTTGACTATGTCTTCTTGCTAAATCTTCTAGTACAACTTGTGTACGATCAGCTACACAAACCAACTATAAGAAATCGACAAAAAAAACAATAAAAGAATGAGAAGGATAATTGATTACATACATCAACACGCATCATTGGTTGAAGAAGAGTACAATCAGCATGACGAAGACATGCTCGAACACAATCAGAAGCTGCTGCTGAATAAAGTGCTGGTGATATAAATCCAGTTAATTGAAGATCATGTAATTTTACATGAATATTGACTACTTCAGTACCTTTAATAAGACCTGTTGATAAAGCAAGACGAATACCATGATTAATTGCTTCTACAATAAAATAATATTTTTAAAATAGAAAAATAATTAGATATAAGTGTATATCCCATACCAACATGTTCTTTTTTCAAATTCTCAAAATTTTGTTCATCACTTCGTACTATTTGAATTTGTGAAAATGATATAATTTTCTTATCTTGTGAAATGATGGGTTCAATCGAAAGTGTTATAGAAATTGTTGCATGTTTTTCATTAATTGATGAATTCCAAACAATTGTTTGTTGAGTTGATTTTCTTGGTGTTTCACGATAATTAACATTTAATGGACCAAGATAAGTTTCAAGTTCATATTCACGTTTTAATCGATCACGTATAATATCAATATGTAATTCTCCCATACCTAGAAGTATTGTTTGACCTGTTTGATCATCGATACGAACACGTAATGATGGATCTTCACGTTTTATATTTTTCAATGCAAAATCAAGTTGTTTTTGTGTACTTTCAGAATAGGTTTCTATTGTACAAAAGAATACAGGTGGTGGAGCTTCTAAACCAGGATCAGGTAAAAATGGATATTGTTGTTTAAGATCATTTAAATGAGTAGCAATAGTTGATTTTCTATTTGAAACAAGTATATCACCACTTGATGCCTATGAAAACAAACAAGTTGATATGTATTATCATTGTTGATTTCTACTACATACCTCTTTGAATCCACTAAGAACAGCAATAGATCCTGCTCGAATTTCATCAATATCTTCCATATTATCAGCAAATGGTAGAAAAACTTTATTGATTTGTTCTCTTTCATTTGTTCGTGCATTTGTTAATACCATTCGTTTTTTAACTGAACCAGAATAAACACGTGCAAATGATAAAGGTTGTTTTTGTCGATCATGAATTGTTTTAAAAATATACATTAAAGTATCAGTATTTGATGATGATGTTGGAATTATTCTTGCACTTGGAAGATAATTAACAATAGCATCGAGTAAAGTTGGAACACCAATATTTTTTAATGAACTACCTACAAGTACAGGTACATAACGTTGATGATTAACCATTAGACGACAAATAGCTTGTATTAATTGGTTAGTTGAAATTGGTTTATCAGCGAACAAGAGAAGTTCAGCAATAGCATCATCAATATCAGCTAATTTTTCAATTAATTTTGTTCGGTCATTAGTAAGAAGTTCAGATGGAGGTTTGGAAGAGTTATTTGCTGGAATTATTATTTCATTGAATAGATCGATCATACCAGTAAATTGTTTTCCTTGTCCAAGAGGAGTATGTAGAAGTATCGGTTCAACTCCAAATTTTTCTCGTATTGAATCAAGACACATTGATAAATTTGCTGTTGGTTTATCCATTTTATTAATATAAATTAAACGTGGTACATGATATCGATTCGCTTGTCGCCAAACAGTTAATGATTGAGTTTCAACACCAGCAGATGCATCAAGAATTGTCACAGCTCCATCAAGTACTCGTAATGATCGTTCAACTTCAATTGTAAAATCCACATGTCCTATTTAAAAATAAATATAATTCTTTCTTTTCTATTCTCTTGCAATAACTCACCTGTACACACAAAACATACCGGGTGTATCGATGAGATTGATACGATGTTTATTCCATGGTATTGTAATAGCAGCTGATGTTATTGTAATACCTCGTTCACGTTCCTGTTCCATATAATCCATTGTTGTATTTCCATCATCAACATTACCCATTGATCGAATAAATCCAGCATGATATAACATACGTTCAACTGTTGTTGTTTTTCCTAGGATAGAAAATCTTTAATAAATATTATATTTGTGTTTTTCTTCAAACTACCTGCATCAATATGTGCAATAATCCCAACATTTCGAATACGTTGTGGATCAACAATTTGTACAGCATTTTGAAATACTTGCAAACGAGTATTACTTGCATAACGATAAAATAATCGTAACGGAAAATTAGTTATACATTGAAATAATCTCATCTTGTTCTTTAAACTTAAATCTATATTCATTGAAACAAAAAGCAAAGTTAGCCTATAGAAAGCATTTCTTTTTCTTCTTCATAATTTTACTATACAAAATAAACAGGTGGACAACAGTAACAAGAGAAAAGAAAAGGAAATATACAGATATATATATATTTAAGATTTTCGTCCTTGTGTTCTTTGTTTTGTCGATGGACGATCAATAAACCAATTAATATGTCTTTCATAAAAATCAATTAATAAATCCGGTACAAGTTCTTTCGCTTTTTCATTGGATATAAAATATAATTTTGTTGGACAACGTGTACATTTTAATAAAAATTCAAGTTCATGTGATGATGTACGTGATCGAGTTATTGAAACAATACGTTCAGGTTCAAGTGAACGATAATCTATTGTATTATTTTCTATATCTTCTTGTTGTGGATTATGTAAATCATTTGCATTTTCATCAACAATATTCGTTTGATACTCAATTGAATCAGATCGAAATTTTTTCTTACGATTTAATGATACAGTACGGGTTCGTTTAGGACGATGATTAGATTCATTTGTTACTTCATGATTGTTACATATTGCATTTAATTCTCCTAAACATAAATATTTATTATTTATATAATAGATTAATAATAGTTACCATTTTCAATGAATGAATCATTCTCTAGTTCATCAATTCTGTTCATACTTTGAAGATGATCGTGTTGTGATAATACATCAGGAATTATATTTTCATCAATAGTTTCGGAATAATCAGTCGTTGCACACATGGATACATCACTACGTGGGGTATAATATATCATTTGTTGCTCGTCAGTGTTCGTAGTTACTAATGGCAGTGTTGACGATACTAAACCATATAATTATCATGAAAAACTATATATATATATATTTATTAATCACCTGTTTCATTGAGATTGTCAATTTCATTACAAATTTGAGAAAGTATTTCTCTACATTCATCAGTCTAAATAAATAGAATTTATATTTAAATAAAAATAAAATTTTTTTATCATATAACCTACTACATTCTTTTGTATATTATTCAATGTTAAATTACGTTCATATTGTTCAATTAAATCTTTACAAAAAACATTCTCTTCTGGTTCCCATGTTGCATCTTCTTCATCATAACCAAACCATTTTATAAAGTATTCTATTTGACCATTGTCTAAGATTTTTTTATTAAGAATTTTTTCAACAACATATATATCATCAGCCATTGAATAAAGACAAGAAAAACAAAACAAAATACTAAGAATCTAAAACACAACATTACCAATTTAGGTTTTCTTTACTTTAGATAAATAATATCTATATGTATGTGTATATTAAAATTTCATAAAGAAACAAAAAATATCAATGTTTATGACCCATTGAAAGAATAATAGGAAAACAACAACCAATAATAAGAATAAGAAGTTCTATGGCACGAAATTGTCGATCTTCATAATGAGATTGCACTTCAGGTAAAACATGTACAGTAGCAACAAAAAGAAATGTACCCGCACTAAATAACATTGCAATACCGGTTGAATCAACTGAATATGCTTCACGAACTCTCTATAAAAATAAAAAATAGAAATTTTTTGTTGTTTGTTTCAAAATAATTCGATTAGAAGAACATACACTTTTTAAAAGAACAAAAGTAAAAATAGCCATTAATGGAGCAGCTAAAGAAAATATTAAAAGATGACGTCGAATACGTTTACGATCAACACCATCCGACATTAAAAATGAAACAAGACCAAAAGCAGCTGGAGCCTAGAAAACAATATGAAATAATTATTAACAAAATTATTATAAAAATATTACTTTATGAAGCATTATAGCCATAAATACGATTAATTCAACATTAAATCGACTTGTTGCTGATGCAGCGCCTAAAGTAAATTATTTTACAAGCGTTATCAAATACTTAAGACGATTTTATATAATCATGCAAAGCATGTTGTTTCACTTTCATTCAGAGTCTTGTAAGTAAATAGCATTTAAGAAGTTAAGTAAATTCTAGAACAGGTTTAGTATAATATACCAAATCTGATAGATTCTATTCCAATCTGCTATCCCAAAAAAAAAATAAACATGAACATTATTTTTTAGTCGTTATGGTTCACTAATCTATCAAGGAAATGAAGCGAATAGTTTATATGATACGCATGATAGAACTTTAATTTTTCTATATAATTATGATGCTAATATTAGAGATATTCTCTTTACCTAGAGCAATTCCATCGGCTGCTGCATGTACAACAAGACCTAATGTAGCCGTCCATGTTGCTTTTGGTTTAGTTATAACGACGGAACCAGATGAATCAATAACTAATAGAAGAAAAATTAGATTAAATAATTGAATAGAAAATATTAAATTTGTAACCTTGACTTCCATGATGATGAAAAAGTCTCGAACTAAAATTATCAACAATTAACATAAATACAAAACCAAGAATTAAAGTTACACCTAAATTAAAATAAAATATTGGAGAATTTTTTTGTATAATAAAGATATTCTTATACCAATTGCTGAATGAGATGTATTTGTATGTTTATGTTCACCTCCTGAAGTCAATTTTTTCGAATGATCATGTATATCTTCTACCTTTACTGGTTTAACTTCTTGAGCAACTTCATTTAAATGTCGACGAACAATTTTATGATCAGAATGTATTTCATGTGTAGTTTCTATCGATAAGAAGAAAATAAATTCAATTTTTTTGATATTCTGTATATGTACATACCTAATTCATTCATATATAAAGCATGAACTCCTTCAGGAATAATAACGGCAAGTGCTGTACCGACTAGAAGACCTGCGCCAAGGACAGTAATATAGCGCATTTTGTTCTAAAAATGTATTATTATTCATGTTTTTCTTTTCGGATAAAAATAAATAAGATTTACCTCAGATAAATTAAATGCAAGTGGAACAAGTCCAGATAAATATGAACCAAGAAACATGGCTAAACTGAACATACTTAACATAAATGATTCCGACATGATATATATTTTTTTTGTTGTAATAAAATAATATAATGATAATGATAGTTTGAATTTTTTTATAACAGATGGATGGGTTTTTGATAAACAAATCAGATGAAATGTGATGACATTATAAAAAAATTTGATTTTTTTAACGTTTAGTTTGAATTTTTATTTGATATTTAATTATTTAATAGATGAAATAAAAAAAATAACGTGATAAACAAGAGCGACATCTACATAAGAAGTTGCTAAGCAATATAAGACGTAATTTAACGTAAATGATATCTATTTTTGATTAGATTAATTATCAATAATGGTCGATACGGGTATGTTAATTAGCTATATAAGATTATATAATCTAGATTTTTTATTTATTAGAACATACAATATTTTCATCAGCTTCATCAGATTCTGGTTTAGGTGGTGTCGAGAATCGAAAACTTAATGAACCTAATCGTAAGCTTCTTAGTCTTGCTTTGTTTAAGAAGAAAATATGGAATTATAATTTTCTTTCTCTCGTGTCATTCATAAGTGATTAGCTTCTTACTTTAATAATCTAATAAGACATGCAATTTGTTTTTGATTAGAATTAGATGTAATGTTATATTGAATTTTAGAAAGTGCTCGAAGTTTCGATGATGATGATTTTCAATTACCAGCAAATTGGCCAGATTATGATTTTGAACGAAAGAAAAGTTGTCTTTTCAGTCGAGTTTTTTCGACTTGTGTAACAAAAGCTATTAATCATCTTGAATTAGTTCAAAATGCTATTGAACACAAGTAATTATTTTATTTTAAATATCCATTAAATATCTAAATGATTATTTCTTATTTTAGAGATAGTCCAACTAGTAAGTATAGTAATTGTTTGATTTTATCGATAAATAATTGCTATTCTACATAGGAAAAGGAGCAACATATAGACGTGAAGTACGTTTTACACATAAATCATCACCAATGGAACTTCAAATAATTGGCCAAGGTGGTCAAGTTGGTCATGAACATTCACATCATCATGAAATACTTGAAGATGAAATCATTGATGAAGTATTATTACTTTTAGCACGACTTGATCGTGAACGTTTACGTTTAATTACTCTATGTGAAAATGAACAATTTATTCGTAATCGATTGAGAGAAAGTATTGATCATTGGCGCTTGAAACGATTACGTGATTTACCTTTGGCTGTACAACGAGGTTTGCAATGATATTAATCATTATGAAGATTGATCTCACTTTGTTTTTTTTTCTTCTCTTAGAACATGAAGTCTGTATTAACGATATCAATGAACTGCAATGGCATATTACTTACAATGTTAAATTAGCTGAAAAAATGTCTGCAAAAATCGAAATATCTCGAACATGGCATCAACAACTTGATATTGAAGTTAGTGATATTCGTCAAACAACTGATTTAATGGCTGAAAAAGTTCAAACAGAATTAATTGAAATCAAAAGACTTACTGACGCATTGAAAGAAACCGAGCATGAATTAATGTTAAGTCGTGCAAAGAATGCTGATACATTAGATAAATCAGCTCGTGCTAATCAACGTGCTACTATTGAACGAAATGAAATACGAAGTGAACTTGATAAAACTATCAAAGCACTTCAACAAATAACGTACGTTTCTATCAAGAATACTATTTTTTCGATTAATATTTTGTAAATATTATATAGAACGAAATTACATACAGCTCAAGATCTACATAAAACTTATTTAAAAACGATAGCTGATGCAAAAGAAACTGTTAAAAAAAATACAGTAGCTTACAATGAAGAAGTCATTAAACGAGATGCTGCACGAAGTGAAATGTCTGATCTTAAACTTAAAGTATTTATTTAGCTTTTTACATTGATATTTAAATTTTTATCTTTTAAATAGTTAATGGCACTTCAAAGCGATCGTCAAAATATTCAATCTGAAATTGAACGATTAAATATCAATTTAGAACGAGCTCGATTAGAAGAAAAAGCTCGTGATGATCAACGAAAACAAGAATTAGAAGTATTACAAGCTAATGCATTAAAACGTGAAAGTAAATTAGAAAAAATCTTGAAAAAAACACGAGAAAAATCGATTATTATCGATGAACATGAACGAAAATTAGCGAAAATTAATGAGTAAATTTATTTGTTGTTTTTTATTGAAGAAAATTTTTTGAAATATTTATCTAGGCAAATTGATCGTCATCAAAAAACAATAGCACGTTATGAACAACAACGTAAACGTGATTCTGAAATGTTACGAACAGTTATTGAAAATTTACAACGAGCTGTATTTACAAATGAATCTATTACAGCAGATATGCAACGTGCAACTGAAATCCTCCAAAAAGAAGAAGAAGAAATAAGAGTAAGTTGAAGTACCTTTTTTTTGGTATAATCAAATTTTATTGTCTTTCATTAGGATGCGATGGATGCAGTACGACGTCAAATTGATGATGAAGGAGTAATGATTGGAAAGATTGATGAACATTTACTTACTGATCAACAAGAACTTGATACTATTACGAATGCAGAAGCAATTCGAGCTGAACAAGTTTGTTTTCATTCATAAAAATAAAGGATATGAAATTAATATTTAATTTATTTTTAGGCCGAACGTATTGAAACGAATTTACAAGGAAAATTTGATGTATTAGCAGCAGATGTTACAGTCTTAGAAGCAGAAGATGTCAAAATAAAAGAACATTTAGCAAAAGTTAAACAACTTTTACATGAAACAAATGAACTTTATATGAAAGATAAAACTGAATTAGAACAAAGAAAAGCTGAAATTAGTGAACGACAACAAGCAGCTTTGGTAAAATAATTTACATGAAATATTGTATATAAGTAGTATTAATATGAAACTAGTTGAGAATCATGCGAACATCAGTTGATGAGATAGCAATTAATAAAATTCTTCATAACTTCTGTAATTTAAGATTTACTATAGAAACCTTTTTGAAAAATCAATGATTATCCGGGTTTCGTTTTTCGGGTGTGAGAATCGAACTGCTGGGTGAGCGAAATGAGAATTCTAGGTGGGCGCCGCCCATTCGCTAGATAAAACACTGACTAGTTCATTAATTTTATAAAAAATGAATTGATATTCTTAGTTTTACTCTGAATATTCTCTATATAAAAATATCTTAGGCTACAGCAAATGATCTTGGTACTAAACTCGATCATATTACCACTCAAACAGCTTATTTGAAAAAACGTATAGAAGAAATGACTGAATCTCGTATTATGATGGAAACATTAACAATTAAAATTCGTGGTGAAATTCAAACAGCTGAGTATGTAATTCAATAATAATTTCAATTTAATATTAATATTGTGTTCTAGATCAGAATTAGTTGATGTTAAATATAATCTCACTTTAATTGAAGCTGGTGAAAAAGAAGTTGTACGAGTTTTACAACAATGTTTACAACGACAAGCCGCTACTGATAGTTTAAATAAACAATTATTTCAAGAACGTTCGAATTATCAATCAGAGAAAGAAGTAAATTTAAAAAAGAAAAAATATTATATAATTTTAAAACAAAATATGATAATAATTTTAGTCAGCTATTGAAAAAGCTCTTGCACTTAATACAGAATTAGCAAGTGCTTATAGAGATTTAGTATATACATATTATGAAATCAAAGGTCTTTTAATGGGTAAATTAGATGAACGTTCTGATGCTGTTACACGAGTTCGAGATAGAAGACAATTAATTGAATTACAAACACGACTTCATGATGCGTTAAATCTTTATCTTGGAATTAAAAGTAAATATATAGTATCAGAAAAAAAAGATTCTTCTTCAAATTTTCTCTTGTTAATATTATAGATGAATGTGATGAACGTCAAATTCATCGTTTAAATCGAGAAAGTCATAAAAATGGTTTACAAGTCAATCAAATTCAAGAAACAGTACAAACTGCTGTTGAAACTATTACGAAATTTCTGGACGAACAAGTTGATTTTGAAGCTATACATCAAGAAGCGATGCTCAAAGTACATAGGGATGAATTAAAAGAAAAACAAACAGTGTCTGGATAAAATATATGTATTTTTTAAATAATACAATTTTTCTAATGCTTTTAAATAAAGATATTTTTTTACTGCATTTTGACAATAATATTGACTATTTAATAAGCAGGTTGATCACGTTAATTATGATATTTTTTCATGATTTGCTGTATTATTCAGTACGACGATCACGTTATTTAATATGTATATTACTAATTATATGTTTTTTTGATAATCATACCAACATGCTCTGAAAGAAAATTTACATGCAATGTGAATAAGATTGAAAATAAGAATTAATTTAGCAAAACAAAAAAAATATCTTTAAACATTTCATCGGTTATATTTAATATTTATTTGTATTGTTATTATATGGATATCTCTGATTTTACTTTGTATATGTAATTCAATTCTTATATGGTAAGTTAAAAAGAACAGTATGAAATACCTTAATCATGTTTATTTTTTAATATGTTTAACAAACTATTCTACAACTCTTCGTAAAAGTGCAAACATAAACAGAAATCTCAAGAATAGAAAGTTACTTCAATATAGGCTGTTAAGAGAAGAGAAGGAGAGTGCGTGTATTTAAGTATATCGCGGTCTGAACATTTCTAATGATAATGATACGCACCCCGTTAAAATTGCATTATGACATCTAGTAAAAGATGGTGTTTAAGAATATCGACAAAATTAATACTATCGAGATAGTCATAGTTGAATAATATGATAAATCAAATGGTCGAAGATGTACTGTCTTTTTTT